GAGTTGAAGTCCACTCATCTTAAAGTGGCCAAGTTTGGACAACACTGGTCTATGATATAGTGTTGAATGAACATGCAGATCTGGCATGTATTATTATTACTGTATTATTATTATAATCACAACAACGTGAAATCACAGCTGCCAGTTCTTTAGCTGGTGTTGGCCTTCATTCACATCGAGTTCTTCCCAAGAACCTAGGATGTCCTAATGTATCGGCGAACTTATATGTGCAGATCCAAGCAGTGTGGCCTTTTGTGATTGACAGATGGAAATTTTGTAGTGTGCAGATTTTCTAAGTGCTGTCCAAGGTTTTTTGGTATTAATCACTGGGGCCAGCACTGCTGGTTTATGTCGTAATCTTTCAACTTCAGTTTTCAGATCTTGATACTTTATGATCTTGTTCAATTCTTTGTCTTCTATTCTACTATCCCCTGGTATTGCCGCTTCAATTTTCACACTTTCTTCTTTTCACCCACAGTTAAATCTGATGTGTTATACACCAAACTTTATCAGAATGTATTCGGAAATCCCACAGTATTTTAAACTGCTTATTTTGACTACTTTTTCCAGTATATGTTCCCACTCATTTTTCATTACTGGCAGTTGATAATTTTTACATGTCTTCCAGTGAATCATTTTGGTGACTGTGTTATGTCGTTTATAGTCAGTTTGTGCGATCTTCTGGCACGAGCGGAGTATATGATCTACTGTTTCTTCTGCTTCTTTGCAGTATCTGCACTTTGAATCATTTGATGATTTTTCAATTCCGGCCTTGATAGCATTAGTTCAGATAGCTCGCTTTTGAGCAGCCAAAATCAAGCCTTCAGTTTCTTTTTTTAATGTTCCAGTTATATGCCATTGCCAGGTTTTATCTTTATCCACTTAACCCTCAAACCTTTGTAGAAATTGACCATGTAATGCTTTTCCTTGCCAGAATTCTGTTTGTGTTTTTATTATATTATTTTGATATTCATGTTTTGTTTCCTGTACATTCAGTAACTTCCAGTTTTTAACTGGCATCAGTGCTTCTTCTTGACTGTCTTTTACATAATCAGCCAATATATGCTTTTCTTCAACAGTTTGTTTGACTTGAAGTAAACCTCTGCCTCCATTTCTGCAGGGCAGGTATCATTATCAATATCACTATGGGGATGTAATGCATAATGAATAGTCCTGAGTTTTCTTGTTTTTCGGTCCAAACTGTTTAATTATTGGTGGTCACATACTCAGCCAGATGTTTAGACTGGATTTGGGATTTTTATCCACCTATCAAGTCCTTCCCAAGGATGTTGTTGTCTGATGGTGTTAAATGTATCGTTGCAGGATATGAGCTGTTCCAAGTAAAACCGCTATTCGCAATTGACTGATGGTACTTTGGTCAATGCCAATGGGGTTCAAGTGGTGCTCCAGATGTTTTGGGATTGCACGCAAGGCACCTATTGATACTATTTTGCTTTCCTTTGCCACAGTCATTCTACTTCTATTTGCAGGTTCTTGTATTTTATGATTTTCTCCAGTTCTTTCTCTTCTCTTCTGCTGTCTCCAGGTATTGCAATGGCCATTATCCAGACTTTTTTGTCTTTCTTATCAACAATTGTTGAGTCTGGGGTGTTGTGTGGCAGGGGCTTGTCTGTTTGAATTCTAAAGTCCCAGAGCACTTTAGCTTCTTCTTTTTTTATTACTTTGTTTTTTTTGTTGTCCTCCCA